GCCTCCGCCTTCGCCTCTGCCGGAGGTGTTCGGTTCCTTGGCGGCATCCGCCTCCGCCTCCGCCCGCGATACTCGCGCCTCTGCCTCGTCCTCCGCCGCCTCGTGATGCCGCTTCCCCTCCCGCGCCGCCGCCTCACTCGTCGAGCGCTCACGCTCGATTGTGGCCAGCTCTTCCCGCAGCAGCTCCACCCTGAGCTCCTCCCCTTCCGTCTCCGATGCGGCCGCCAGCCGCGCCGCCTCCTCTGTCTGCGCCTCCGCCAGCCGTGCATGCCACTCGTGCGCCGCCTCGATCTGCGAGCGGAGCACGGCGACCACCTGCCTCTCTTGCTGTTGCTGCTCCTCGAGTGCCGCCTCTGCCCGCCGAAGCTCTCGCCGATGCTCCACTTCGCGCGCTTCGGCGGCGGTGGCGAGAGCGTCGACCTGATCCGCGTGCGCCGCGCGCTGCCGCTCGAGAAGCTGCCGCTGCTGCGCCATGCGGGAGCGAGCCTGCGACGCCTGCCGCTCCGCCTCTGCGAGCCTCTCCTCGAGGGCGGCGACAACCTCCGGAGCCGGTGACGGAAGGCTGTTGTCGATGGCAGCAGTCGCGTCCCGCAGCCAAGCTGGCGGCCGCTCCTTCTCCTGCTGTCCCTCGGCCTCGCCTGCGACGAGCGGCGGACCGTTGCAGGCCTGATCAGACTCGATCCCGTCGCTACAGCCTGGCTTGGCTGGCACTGCTGGCTGCCCAGCGGGCCGGCAGCCCTGATGGTGTGGAGCAGGCTCGAGGCGTCCTCGCACGGATCCGCCTCGGTCCCGTCCAGGACCTTGGAAGAGCGCCAACTCCAGATGAACAACGCGCCGCTGAGCCTCGCTCCGCTGGAGCCCGCGCTGACTCATGAAGCTGCGAAGCCGCCGCTCGTAGAGGCGCTCCCTCAGGTCGTCGTCGCCGCTGACTCTGTGTGCCATGTGTGTGGCTGCGTCCCCAAGGCACACAAGTCACGGGCACCAGGCCGTCCTGGCGTGCGCTCGCAACGCGCGAGGCGCAAACGTACGTGCGAAGCAGAACGCGCAAAACACAACGGCGCGAAGCACTTGGTCCCGCCCGTCGCGCGCATTGAAACTTTCTACAGTCGACTACGGAGCGCAATTACTTGCGGACTTGAGCACTGGATAGGTGCCCCTGGATAGGGTCGATTCCGCATGGTACGGGACCCTCCATCGTCTCGCCCTCCCTCGGTGGAAGATCATTTGGGGGGGGGTCACAACAACAAACAAACGCTAAGGATCGAGGTGCACGCTGCAGAAGCACAGTGTCGCCCCCCCTCGGTCTCGGGTACCCGACCAGGGTCCCCACCTCCGCTAGCAGGATTTTCGGCGACTTTCAGCCGCGATGCCTGCATGCTCTCTGGAGCTCGTGCGACAGCACAGCAGGACTCCCTGCCTACTCAACACGAGCTTCGGCTGCTACGACGACAATCCTCGGCAGGTCTGGACGCGCGCGTGCCGCGGCACCTTTGCTTGTGACGGAGCGCTGGACTCTGCTAATCACTTTCTGTGCGGCTACCCGCCCGGCAAAGAGTGGTACAACTGCTCCTGCGACCAGCAGTCTGCCGTGACCGCAGCCCGCGATTCAGACGAGGCAAAGTTCGGCGCCGCCTCCTGGCAGTTGGCGGCCAGTGACACGTACCGCCGTCATCACATCTACCGCCGGGTGCAGTTCTGGATCGGCTTGCTGCTGGCCTCGCCGGATCTGCCGACTGGCTTGACGGCGAGGCGAGGGACCGAGACCGACTACAGCCGGTTCTGGAGGAACGGCACGGTGCCGCCTCTCGGTGGCCGTGGCGCCCGCCGGAGCCGCGTCCACTGCCCGGGCACATTGCGGTCGGCCGCCGCGAGGGATAGCGCCAGCTACTGCGACGCGCTCTGGCCGGCGCAGGCTGGGGAACCGTGCGCAGTTTACGTGATTGGAATTGGCGGCGAGTGGACGTTTGCGGAGTACGCCCTCTCAAAGGGGTGCGAGGTGCACGCCTACGACCCGACTGTCGAGCTGCGGGCGAGGCACCTCCTCCGCTCTAGGTTGTATGCACTGGTTCTGCCCGGGCACACACAGAGCCTCCTGCTCCCGAGTCGATGGCCGCGCCTGGCGTCTGTGATCGGAGTTTTCTCTTCGAAGAGTCGCTCACGGCTACCACTTCCCCTAGGCACCGGCGCAGCGCCTCACGAATGAGCAAGACGCACTTCCACTTTGCTGGCCTCGGAGGCAGTTTGACTGCGAGCAAGAGGACCGGCGGTGCGAGAGCAGCCGACAGCATCAACAGCTACGGAACTATCGACGAAGCGCGCTTGATGACTCTTGAAGAGATGGTCGCGAGGCGCCCGCGCGGCGCGGCGCCGATCCGCGTGTTGACCATCGATTGCGAGGGGTGTGAGTGGGCTGCAATCGAGCACCTCGCCCACAACTCCACCGCCGCGGAAGCTCTCGGGCCGGTGCGGCTGCTGATGATAGAGCTGCACGTCTCGCCCAGCATGATCCCTCCAACCCCGGCCCAATTTGCGGCCGTTTTCGACTTTCTGCTTGTCCGCGAGCGCTTCAAATTGTGGTCCCTGCGCACCAATGACGGGTACCCCTTTGACCAGAACGTGGCCGACTTCCTCGGGGTGGGCGGGCTCGCTGCGGGCTTGTGCTGCTACGAGCTCGCCTTCGTGAGATGACGATGACATTGGGAAGGTTCCTGCACCCCGCTCGCCGCTGGGCCTGGCGTCTGTCTGTTCTCAAGTTCTCCCTTTTACTAACTTTTGACAACTCAAGAGTAGCATAATGCACCCGTGACTCTCCTCGAATCCTCAAGCTCAACCTCTTGCACCCACGTCTCGATCTTCTTCGGCAGCAGCTGGTTTGTCGTTTGACAGGTCATCTCCGTGGCCTAGACAGCCGTGGCCGCCCTCACCCCAGATAAAGACGGCGCCGTCGGCGGTGAGGGCGAGTCTGTGGCCCACTCCAGTCGAAACGGCGACAACGCGCTGGCCAGCAAAGGCCTCAATCTTCTTCTCGGCAGCTGGCGCTGCTGATCGCCCGCGTGGCCCAGCCGGCCTTCCCAGCCCACGCCCCAGCTCCAGACAGCGCCGTCAGCGGTGAGGGCGAGGCTGTGTTCGCTTCCCGCCGACACAGCGACGACGCGCAGGCCAGCAAAGGCCTCGACTTTCTTCGGCAGCAGCTGCCTATGCGTGCCGCCGTGGCCCAGCTCGCCGTAGTATCCTTCGCCCCAGCTCCAGACAGCGCCGTCGGCGGACAAGGCGAGGCTGTGGCGGGATCCTGCCGAGACGGCGACGACGCGCTGGCCAGCAAAGGCCTCGACCTTCTTGGGCAGCAGCTGGTTCTGCTGGTCGCCGTGGCCCAACCGGTCAAGGGCTCCAGCGCCCCAGCTCCAGACAGCTCCGTCGGCGGTGAGGGCGTGTGGTGCTCTCCAGCCGAGACGGCGACGACGCGCTGGCCAGCAAACGCCTCGACCTTCTTGGGCTCCCGCTGATCCTGCTCGTCGCCGTGGCCCAACCGGCCAAAGAGTCAACAGCCCCAGCTCCAGACAGCTCCGCCGCCCCAGCTCCAGACGCTGCCGCCGGCGGTGAGGGCGAGGCTGTGCGCGGCGCCAGCCGACACGCTCACGGCGCGCTCACCCAGCGTCGAGGGAAGGCGGGTCGGCGCGTTGAGCCGCGTCACGCCCTCACCGTGCCCGAGCAGTCCTGGAGAGTAGGACGGTGCAGAGCCGCACGACGAGAGCCGCCCCTCACCGTCAATGAAGAGACTGTGCAGAGCGCTTCCCGCCGCCCTCGCCAGCGGGTTGGACTCGCACAGCAGCGCTGAATAGCACAGCCACCGCACGGCGCAGCCCTCGCCCTCTGGCTGCGCGGGCAGCTCGAAGTCGCGCTCTTGCGCCCGCAAGCGGATGCCCTCCACCGCAAGCGAGGCGTGAGAAAGAGGAGCGAGACGGCCGCGACGCGAGCGATGTCGGCGGGGCCGCAATGAGAGAGGGCGCGCACGAGGAGCTCCGTGGGGAGGTCGAGGAGGCGGGTGGGCGGCGGCTTATCTGGCGAGGGAGCGGCGGGGGCGGCTGGTGCGGGCCGGAGGCGGATTGCAACGGTGGTCGATTGCGCAAGAAAAAGAAACCCCGCCGCTGCCGCGTGCGAGCAACAGGATGCACATTGCAGATTTGTCACCCGCTCAACGTACCGTCCGGACACAGCCGGAAACACCACCGTTTCCCCACGTAAGCCACCGCCGAAACCAAAGGCATCTCAGCTCAACTCGACCGGAGTCGGGTTGGAAGGCGAGTCCCCCCCCTCCCCCTCTACCGCCCGCGGAGAGAGCGGTGGCGCGGCCTCGTCGGGCTCCGACGCCGCGCTGGAGGCGCGGGCGAGCGAAGCGAGGCCGAATGTCCCGCCTCCAACTTCCGGCAGCTCGACGTCGGGTCTCTCGTCCTGGTACTTGGGGCGCCGCAGCTCCAGCGCGGCCACCTCGGCCGACATGGCCTCGTATGCCTCCGCCTGTGGGCGTCCGGATGTTTTTGCTCAGGCGCGGGCCCGGGCAGCACCTTTAGAGCAACGGGCTGCTGGCTACTGCTGCCCTCTGCCTGCGCGCTCTTCAACAGCTCGAACTCGCGGCAGAGCAGAGTGTTGCCTGAGAAAAGAAAAGAGAGCGCGTAGAGGAGGGAGGGTGTGAAGGAGAGCGGGCGGCGGAGCAGAGAGGTGCCGATGGCCGCGTAGCCCTGAAATACGACCAGCAGCGCGGCCGACGCCTCGTCCCACGCCGCCGACGCCGCCTCGCTCTTCTCGCGGTTGCTGTCGAGCTTGGCCTGCCGAGGTTAGCCGAGATTAGCCGGGGTATAGCCGAGGTGCAGCCGAGGTGAGGTACAGCCGCGGTGTATCCTTCTCGCGGCTGCTTGGCTCGGGTGATCTCGGGTGATCTCGGGTGATCTCGGGTGATCTCGGGTGATCTCTTGCTGGCCTGCTGCGTGCCCGCCTTCTCCTGCAGCCTCTGGTACTTGTCCGCGTAATAGTCTGCGTTCAGCTTCAGCACCTGCAGCTCCGAACAGCCGATGGTGACAAGCCGTGGGCTCCTCATAACCGCTAGTGAGGAGGAGGGTGGTTGCTGGTACGCACCTGCAGCTCCGAGATGTGCTGCCACACCTAGTGCAGCGGGCGGGCAGCGCGGAGTCTGCAGTGCACTCGCGGCGCATTGAGTGTCACGGGCCACGCGCGCAGCGAACACAGCTGAAGGCAGCCGAGGCCGTGACGCCTGTCGACTGCTAGCCGCTCGGGTAATCTCGGGTAATCTCGGGTAATCTTCCGAGACCGTGACGCCTGTCGACTGCTAGCCGCAACGCACGGGCGCGTCACGTCTGCATCTAGGGCGCCGGACGGCGGCCATCGCGGTGGCCTTGCGCCGTACCGCCGGCAGGATGGCCGTCTCCTACACAGCCATGAGCACTTTAGCGTGGTGGTGGTGGTGGGGAGGTGGGAGTGCGGCGTCGAGCGGTGTACTCAGAGCATCGCGTGAATGCGAGGGCTACGAATGCCGCTGACGACAGCGGGGATGCCGCCGCGCCCACGCGTCATCTCGAGCGCCAGTTCGGACACACGGGTCTTCGCGTCAGGCCTCGAGATATGGGGAGATGTGGGGAGAGACGGGCCTCTGCTTCCGCATCTAGGCTGGCGCGGCCATCGCGTCTGCAAATTTCGTCTTGGAGGCGAGCTCCGCCGCGCTCATGCCGGTGGAGAAGGCGGCGGAACCAGAGGGCGCCAGCGAGGGACCAAGCGCGCCGTCCACCGCAAAGGCACGCGCGCCGGCAGCCAAGCTCGCTGCGAAGGGACTGAGGCCCGCCTGGCGGAAAGGAGGCGCCGGGCAGGGATCGAGATCTCAGGAGAAGGATTGCGAGTCACGGCGTGGCTGGCGGGAGAGGCGCCTGGAAGGCCACCAGCTCGGCGTAGCTGGCGAGGAGGCACTCCTCGGTCTTTAGGAACGCCTCCTCTCCTTTGAGGTACGCGTTGAACGCGTCGCTCGCCTTGGCCTCGGGGAAGGAGAGCACCTTATGGTTCTTGAGAAAGATCGCGCGATTCATCTTCTCCGTGGTGCTGCGCTTGCCGATCGCCGCCTTGTGCTTCAGCCACTTCTTGGCCTCTGTTTGCGGCCCGTTGTCGCCCCACATCCCACTGAGCCTCCGTCCGAGCTGGGACACGGGGCTGTCGTCTCTCTTGTCGCCACCTTCCGCAGGCTTTGTCGTCGTGCCGAACATCATGCACAACTGGATGCACCACAGGCTGCTCGTCCTGTCGGTGTGAACATCCCCAGCCTCCATGTCCATGTCCATGTTGTGTGAAAGCGCCGTCGCAACTGCCATGTCGGCAGGTTGTAGGCTGGTGCTCTCGCCCCGCTGGCGGCGCGGACCGGTGCCGCGGCTCCGAGCCCTCCTGTGGGCCCGCGAGTGTCACCATGACGATCGGCCGTCGATCCCGAAGGGTCGTTGGTTGAGCTAGGGAGCCTGGCGATGGACGCCACCGCGACCCCTCGTGGCATCTCTCTCGCCGTCGGCGAGCTGGGGGCTCGCGGACGGCCGACTTTCTATATGACCAGTAGGACAGCCGTGAGTGTGAATCGGATGTCCTCGACAGGCTCGGCACCTCTGTCATCCAGCAGCGCGACATCGTCCTCCCTCCCGGCGCAACCCGCAGCCGGGACAACCCGCGCCCCCCCCGCCGAGGCCGGTCGAGGCCCACTTGCAAGCAGCCATGAGGAGTCCTCTTGGTGCTCCTGGCGGCCGTTAAAACCTCGGGCCGGACAGGGCGCCGATGGGGGCTTCTGGGGGGAGGCAGGGGGCCACACACAGGAAGTGCCAACCACAAGTGGGGCCCAAGGACACAGGCCAGTCCAAACGCCAAAGTGCGGAAACGGGGCTCCGGCTCCGTTAGTCTCCGTTAGCACCGACTTCCCGATCTAACCTGGTCTAACAGAGGGCAGATTTGGAGAGATCTCGAGGAGTACATACAGATAGACCCTCTAACCATAAGAAAACTCCGACCTGATCGGTCGTACTGACCGCCGACAGATCACTCCAGACAGCAGACAGGCCGACGTCTGCACGCGGCCGGCCGGGCGAGAGGCTTGACACGATCCGACCCTGCGACCCTGACGCTGCTGCTCTAGCTATCAGACATGCACTGCTGACTGCTGCCACAATGTGCGACCTGTGCTGGCCCACTTGGCGGCCTTCCCGGTCAGTGGTGAGGCGCAGTTCAGAGCTGTCGATGGCGCGATGCCGCACTGGTCCCACATTGGTGACACGAGACCACCACGTTTGCCGGTCCAAGAGAGAGGCACCGGCGCTGTCCTGAGAAGGTGCATGGTCCCTATTGACTGCCCATGCGCGCGAGGCTGCGTAGGCATAGCCTCGAGAGTGCCAGCAGCCAATCCGAGGCAGTTTGTGACGCGCATTGCGTCAAGATGAAAACAACGAGGTGCTCTATGCGACAACGACTTTGCCGCGGGAGGGCGACGTGAGGTGGCTGGTCGACTGCGGTGCCACGCAAGAGCGAGCAATTGCCTTACTTAGCCAGCACGGCTCACTCCTTGCTGCAATCCAAGCCGTGCTGAATGCTACGCCGAACGAAGCTTCGGATGATGTGGCGCTTGCAGCGGCTGTGGCGGGCAGCTTTCCAACCTCGATGTCAGGAGAATGGTAAGGCAGTTGGGCAGTTCGTTGAAGGGCTGTGTCTTCAGAGCCTCAACGAGGGGCCAGCTGCAGAAGACGAGAAGTTGGTCGTCTATTGCGAGGCCTTTTGTGAAGAGACGAACGCAGCAACGGCGACGCTTCGCTCTCCACGAAGATGAAGGGCCCCGGCCTCCTGCGTAGCTGGACTGGCCTGCTTGGATGAGCGCATCGGCCCGCGCTCGAGATCTGCATTGACAATGATGGCGGCCACTTGGATGCGCTGTCCGCAAATATTAGGCGTGTTTCGAAGTATTTTCTAGAGGGGTCCTCGTCCCGTGGATGACGCCGTGAAGAGAGCCCCATGCAAGTCACAAGGCTCCTCGCACCCCCTCTCGCCGGCAGCAGCACGCGCCCAATCTACACAACATCGACACCGCCCACCCTCCACCCCATCCTTCCGTACGGGCCGCCTGTCGTTTCTCGCCGACGGCGCCGTCACGTCCACGTCGAGACCAATTTCCCCGGCGCCGTCTGTCCCCGGCGCCGTCTGTGTCGCTGTCGGACGCCTCTGGCGTGCCACGAGTGCACACATATATCTGGATATGCACGAGTGCGAGCCGCTCGCGGTTCGTACGCCCGCTTGCGGGTTGGTTCGAGTGGCGGGCCATCCCGCTTGTGTACTCGACGCCGATCCAGATCCCCACCGAAACTGGCTTTGAAACTCTTCTTCTACACTCGATTGATACCGGAAATTACAAGATAGAGACTCACATGGTCACAAGTGTTGTAAAACGCCAGCACTCGACACGACAAAGGTGTATTGGGCTCGAAGGCGCGGTGAACACAACCGCCTCGAGCGTACCGCTCAAACACGAGCCGAGGGTGGAGGGGGGGGCGGCGGCGAAGAGGCGGGAGAGCTGGGTCCAGTGCGCTCTGCTGCTGGGGGGGGGTGGGGCCCCCCCCCCCCCCAGCAGAAGCGTTTTGTTGTGGGGGTAAGACCCCCCCCCCCCCCCCCCCAGCAGCAGGGTAGTTGTGCAGGGGGGGTACCGAGCAGTGTGCGGCCGCTCCAGGCCCCGGGGCGTACCATATTGCACGCGCCGCTCGTCACCTCAGCCCTGGAACCACAGCAGGCGGACGTCCATGCCGACGCGCATCTTTCCGCTCTGGACCTCGTCCACGTCGAGGAACCACGATGGGTCGTCCACATACTTGTTGAACGGGTGCTTGCGGATGTCCATCTCGACGACATTCGCCTTCACGCGCTCGATGCCCTCCAAGTCAGCGCCGCCCATGCTCGGATCCGCCTCGATGCGCAACCGCCTGGTCACGGCCGCGCTGAACTTGTTGCCCACGCGCACGCCGCCCGGGTTCGGGTACGGGTTACGCGAGGTGTGCAGGAGGGTGGTCGCGTCGCCAGCGAGAGCGCGGAGGTTCTGGACCGAGAGCTGCTCCTCGACGCTGTCGTTGTGGGTGAGGAGGACCGGCCGGCCAGCGTCGCGCAGCGCCTCAAAGGTCGGCCGCCACAGCGCCGCGAACGGCACGGTCCGGTGGCCGTGCATGTCGTGCTCACTTGTGTGCATGACGTGCTCCGAAAAGGCGCTCGTCGCCGCACGACGCAGCTTGGCCCGGTCGACGTCGCCGCCCGAGAAGCGGACCGTGCCTCCCTCCTCGGGCCAAACGGCGTCCCAGATCGCCGGCAGCGGCGCGATAGTGACGGTCGGCACGTCGTGCGCCGAGACCTCGTACAGGCCCGGACAGAGCGAGAGGCGGAGCCAGCCGTCGAGGAAGCTCGCCTCGTGCCGTGGTGCCTCGGGCCCAAAGCCGCACAGATGGAAGCTCTCCACGAGCGGGAAAAGGCGGCGCAACGTCGGCGCCCAGCACTCGCCAATCTCTTTGTGTGTGCCAGCCTGATCGAATTCGAAGCCCGCCGTCGAGGCGACGCTGGCCCACCCGAGAAAGTGGAGCGTGATCGGCTCGGTGCGGCGGTAGAGGGAGTCGCCGAGCTGCATCCAACACGCGTGGTAGATCAGCAGCGGCCGGGAGAGGTACGAGAGGATTTGGTGGCGAACGGCCTGCGGCATCCGATCGTGCCAGATAAGCTCGCATGGAGGAGGCCCCGCGTTGAGCTCGGCGCGCTGGCTAGTGGACAGGCCCGGCTGCGCATAGGCAGCCTCCGGCCAGCGCGGCGGCCCAGGCGGCTGCCAGTGCATCAGGCCGCCGAGCATCAGCCCCTCGCGTACGACAAACGCGCGGAGCGCGGACCAGCCGTCGGCGTGCTCGTCCGACGGGTCGATGAGCCTCACGTTTCGCACCGCACGGTAGAGCCACGCGCTGTCCACGCCAAGGGAGGCCGTGCGCTTGAGGCCCTCCTTCTTGTGGAGGACAATGCTGTCCCAGAGGAACGCCTTCGACGAGCGAGCGATCGACTCGCGCATGCCCGGCGGGAGCGGTGGGAGCACCTAGATGGTAAAGACACATGGAGGTCTCACCGAACTTCGGTCGACAATTCGGACCGTCCAGAAGGACAATGAATGGACACCTTGCCCTTTGGTGCGCGCGGCGTTAGCATCGCCATGGCGTCTGCAATCTCGCTATCGGCCAAGTGCAGGTCGCAACCCGCACGCAGAAGTAGGAAGACGCCGGGCGCGTTGCGGGCGAGTCCGGCGGTCACCAGCGCGGACTGGCTGTTGGGCGCAACGGCGCCGGGCGGCGACATCGCGTCGACGTCAGCGCCGTACTTCAGCAGCAGCGCGCAAATCGGAAAGTTGCCAGCCTGTTGGCACGCTGCAACAAAGGCGGTGCAGCCGTCGGGGGCTGCTTTGTTTGGGTCGGCCCGATGGTCGAGCAGCATCTTGACGACGGGCTCCATGCGAGTCGGCCCGACCTTGCGAAAGGCGCCAGACCCGCAGGCGACCATGAGCGGCGTCGCGCCGGCGTACCTTTGCATCATGACCATGCCTACTGCGCCGAGAGCAGAGAAGGGCGCGTTGGCGTCGCCGCCGCTTGCGAGCCACGTGGCGACGGCGCTGAGGTCGCCCTCGCTCTCGATCGCGTCGAGCACCATCGGTCCGAATGGCTGGTAGGCGGCGACGATTTCCAGCGAGTCGCGGCGAATGCTGCGCCGGCCGCCAGCGGCCAAGCGCACGATGACGCGCTCACCGCTCCCAGCGCTCTCGACGACGCCAAGCGCGCCGTTCAGCTCCGTGGACGTCAGTAGCTTCACGTGTGTGCCGGCGCCGACGCCGGGTCGAAAGGGTGAGACCAACGACAGTCTAGCATATCCAATGATTGCAATGATGGCAAAAATTGATTTGTTTTTTCTTTTTTTAGATTGTTGCGCCGCTGGCGCAGCCGGCCAACCCGCTCGAGGCGATCACCGGCGAGGCGACCACCGGAGCGGTGGCACCCACTGGAGGGGCACCCGCCGGCACGGCGATGCCGATGGAGGACCTCGCCGGTGTGGAGGCCCGCGGGGCGGCCGGCGCGGCGGCCATCGGAGCCGCCCGCGCGGGGACGGCCAGCGCGGCGCCTGCTGTGTGCGGGTGCGGCGACCGGCGCGGATGCCGCGCCCGCCGCTGACGTAGAGGCTCGCCAGGCGATTGCCAACTTCGCCGCCGCGCTCTTCATCTAGACGAGCACCGGCCGGTGCTGGCGTGGAAGACGGCGGCCATCCGCGCGTATCTAGTGTGCGTGTCGGTGTCTGCAGCCTCCTGGAGCCTAGCAGTAAGGCGGCCGGCGGTGGGGCGAGGGGCTGGGTGGGGGAGGGGGGGGGGGGTATGGTCCCCGTCGGCGGGAGGCTGGGTCTGTCAGCAGGCGGGGGGGGTATGGTCTCGAGGTATGTATGTATGTAGGAAGGTGAAGAACAGGTGGGTTGCGTGAAGCGACCATACCATACCCCGCAAAAAGTCCGAACCCTGAATCACGCTTTGCGCGTCTCCGTTATCTGCGCGCGGATGCAGACCCTCACTGAATATCAGCGGCGGCAAAGCAGTCAGCGGCGCCCGTCTGAATCGAAGGTGTCTCGCAGCAGTGACTGGGAGAACGTTAGCGACGAGACGGACCACTTACCTCAGACCCCCGAGGAGGCCTTCGGTGATTTCACACAGACTAAGAGCTCGGCCCTGCCTGCGGCGACGCCGACGCCAGGCAAGGCTGCCAAACTGGAGGGACTTGATGGGTCGCGGTGGGTAGCGTCGGTGCTGATTGTCCTGAATCACTTCTACCTGACCACCTGGGTGCGTTCGCCGAATGGGGGACTCACTGGACCCAATTCTTCTTCTGCCTGAGCGGCTTCATTCTGGCCTACGTGGAGCTCGCGCGCTCGCCCGACAAGGTGGAGCAACAGAGTACGCTCGAATATGTTAAGAGGAGGCTAATCACCACGTACCCCACATACCTCCTCGCCATCGCAATCACAGCCTCGCAATCTGAAGTTAAGCCAACGGCGTGGCTCTTGCTCCCGTCAACATCCTCATGATGCATTGCTGGGTGCCAGTGTGCTGGCCTGACGAGAGCTCTTCCTTTCCTAGCCCCGAAACTGGCCCGGAGGACCTTAAAATCCCTGTGAAAAAAACTGTTCAGTTTTCAAAGGCAAAACACAACGCTCTGCGGTTGGTGCACCCCTCACACTGACACATTCCCCTCATCCCCTACCCTTGGCTGAGCACATCTACCTGCGAGCTAGCATCTCCGCATTTTCTCTTCCAGTCATCCGCCCGCGCCGCGCGCCATCACTGGGCGTCTAGTGCAGCCACTGACAGAGCTATTCCGAAGGAGTGGTCGACGCCTCGCCTAGAGTTCGGGTGGACTTGCGCACTGCTTAGCCCTGAGGGGGGAGTGTGTGTGAGGTGGTGTAATGTTGTCCCGTTTCAGGCGGCAGGTCAGGGGATTAGCCGGGAGGATTCGGCAGCTCAGCCGGGGGCTGAGCGTCTGCAGGCAGCCTTCCGCCCGCGCCGAAATTCACAGCCCTCCCGGGCCGACGGGGTGCTCCTTGGATCGGGCCCCGCTCCCCGCTTTTCCTGTACCTGGACTGTCCGGGTTAGGAGGGTGAGAGTATTGGGTGGGCGAGGGCAGTACATCTGGCGGGTGGCGATTGAGGGACAGCGTGGGTTGATTGGGGGGTCAATGGGCGCGCGGGCGGCGCTTCGTGGTCCTGGGCGAGCAGGGGAAGTGGTTAGGAGTCTGGGCCCAGAGATGAGAGGATTGTCGAGATGTCATGCGAGAGCGGTGGGTGGGCGAAAGTAGCGCGGCTGGAGAGTGGTGTCCGAGGGACAATGGTGAGTTGTCACTTAAAATCCCTGTGAGTGTGTGGTGGCGCGGTGGCGGCGTGCCGTTCTCCCATCCCTCCCTTGGGTTGTCCGCGTTTTCTTTCTTTCTTGGCACCGAATTGGCGTCTTCCCATCCCTCCCTTGGGTGGTCTGTTTATTTCTTTCTTTCTGGCGCGCACTGGCACTAACGCGAGAAAAAGAACATGAGCGAATTCTAGATAAAACGGAAAGTCCGATGGGCAAAGGATAACGTTCTCGTTGCATGGGGCCGTTGATCACATCACACACTTGCGGTGTAGGTGAAACAAGGGCGTGCAATTAAGTCGGCGAGACTGTGTTATTGCGCGATT